ACAACTAGGTATATATCCTAGTAACAAGGTATGTGATAATAGTAATAGCCTAAGAAGTATTCTAACACAAACTGACATACGAATGCCCATGTTTATTGAAGCCTTGTTTACAATAGTAAAGAGGCGGAAACAATCTAAATGTCCAGCATCAAGAGATGAATGGCTAAACTACGGTACATTTACCCAGTGGAGGACTATGCACCACAACTCATTGCCATTAAATCAGAACTGACTCATAGCTAACCCTCCACTTCTGAGTCAGTATATCACCAGAGAGGAGATGGACCCCAGCTGCTGGTAGGTTCGAACTGCCAGAGCTAGAGATGCAACTCCCTATGGATGCTAAGAAATCTGCAATAATCATGGATGAATCTAGAGGAAATTATTCTGAGTTAAATCAATCAATCACAAAAGGACAGATACTATCTAAGACTAAATTAATACTGTATAATTCTAAAAAGCTACAGAACAGTGCGGGGAATTGATCATGGGGTTGTACAATTTGATGGGTGGGGGTGCGGGTAATTGGAAGAATCTGGTGTGAAAAACAATGTATTCAAATTTTGTAAACAAACTAGTATAATAAAAAAAGGAAAAATGTATATACAGAATCATTTTTGAATGGTTGTCAGGGATGTGAAGGGAGGGAGGAATAAAAATTCACAAATAGATAATAGAAACTTATTAAGATGGGGAAAAGGCAAGGCCATATAATAAGGGAAGAGTCAGAAATGGTGAGTAATGTAGTTAATGTTATAAAACAATGTGTCTGAGTGCTTGAATGAAAAACCAATATACTCTGTAAACTTTCACTCAAATCACAATGAAAAGGTAGTGGGTTATAGAAACAGAAAGTAAATTCATGATTGTCTGGGGCTCAATGTGGAACAAAAAGTGACTGCAAATGAGTGCCTCAGATTTCTTCTGTTGTGATGAAATTGTCTTAAAACGGTTTTGTGGTAATGGCTGCGTAACAGCCAATGTGCTAAAAGTCATTGTGTTGAACACTTAAAATGAGTGAATTATATGGTATGTAAATTACAGCTCAAGAGAGCTCCTTTTCTGTGTAACCAAGCACACACATAACACACGCCACTCAGTCTTCTGTTTATCTAAGCACAATGTTTCCATGTTGATCTGAAGCATAAAAGTACACTATACTGTGTTTCCCTCTCCGTGCAAGAAGATGGCAATTTAGGAAGAGAATCAAGACATAGCCATGCATAAATATCACCAATAAGAGAAGGTTGCAAACGTTATGGACACCTATCAACCCCTAAAATATCAGTCTCTTTCTCTTGCAACAACCTCTTATCTAGTCTCCTCGTCTCCTCATTTCTACTTTCTCTCCTACAGTTTATTTTCACCACAGCAACCAGTGTGATTCTGTTAAAAGTCTAATTCAGATAATTTCACTCTTCTACTTAAAACACTCCAATGTCTTCCCATCTCATTTGTGCCAGATCTTTAAAAGAGCTTCCAATATTTTGGAAGCTCTTTTATTTATTTTTTTTCTCTTCGGAGGGGGGAGCGAGCTGGTGGGGAGGGGTGGACAGGGAGAAAAGTGCAGCAATGAATGAATGGAAATCCAAAACCTCTGTAAATGTCTATTAAAATTAATAATAATAAAAAAATAAAAAATAAAAGAGCTTCCAAGACCCTCTGTAATTGCTTCCTCCCATTCTCACACAACTCCAGCCAGTCACAGGACTTCCTGAGGTTTCTAACATACCCTAACCATGTTCTCAGCCCAGGGCCTTTGCATGAGATACTTTCTCTGCTTGAAACTCTGTGCCACCCGTTATCTGCATGGTTTAATTCCCACCTCCTCAACTCTTTGTTTAAGGCATATTCATATTAATACTGGAGCCTCTCTGGACTATCTTATTTTTTAAAAAATGCTTTCGTTTATAATTTTTTTTGTGTGTACCATCAAATCAGATCTGACTAGTACAAGAGGAGATTACCCCTCCTCCAGCAGAGCTTCTGGTGGATTTGAACCATGCACCTCTGGGATTACAGTGCAGCTTCTTGCCACTAGGCCAGCAGAGCTCCCTTTGGACTATCCTATTTAATAAATCAGTACAGACCTCTACATTCTTTATCTTCTTACCCTTCTTGCTTTAGTCCTCTCTGTAGTAATTATGACCTACTTTTAAACAGAGCAAGTATATCCGTAGGACGATCTAACATATTCAAGTCTATAAGTCAGACTGATGTACGTATTTTCATTATTGTCTGGTACTCCTCCATGGCCAGAAGGTGAGGCCAAGGATCTTTATCTGTTTTGTTTCTTGTATAAACAAGGCTTAGAGAGGCCTGTTTTATTTGGTCCCTAGTAGATACTCTATACATTTTTGTTTGAATGAATGACCAAGAACTGTTAAGAGGATTCATAAGAGGGAGACTTTTGGGTTTTAATGCACAAATTGTGTTTGGGAGGGAATACTTGGCTAGAAAGGAACACTGGTGTTGTGGTAGTAAAGCACACAGCTGATAACATAAAGGTCAGTGGTTCAAACCCACCAGCTACTTTGTGGAGAAAAATATGACAACCTGAGTCCATAAAATTGTATAGCATCGAAAAACTCTACAGGGTAATTCTCCTTTGCTTTATAGGGTTTTAATGAGTGATAACTGACTCACTATCCATAGGTTTTAAGTATATGCATAAACAATTACTGTTTGTACATTGATTTTAAAAGGAGAATTGATAGTTCAACGTTTACTCATTTTGTTGCTATCTTTTTTTCTTAACTAATTTTAAAGAAAGTTTACAGAGACTTTAGATTTCCATTCATTCATTGTTGCACTTTTCTCCGTGCCCAACCTCCCCCCCCCCAGTTTGCTCTTCTTGAAAAGTAAAAGAAAAATTCTTTCTTTATTATACAATCCCTCCCTCTGAGTCCACTCCGCTACGCAGCCTTCATTCTGGACTCATGTCATGACAATAATACCTACTCATATATCCCTTTTAAACAGTTCTCTCTCTCATCTGTTTAAATGAAGTATTAGTTGCTACCTTAAAATGCGGTATTGGTTGCTATCTTAAAAGTATTGATGGTTCAAATCCACCAGCTGCTCCCTTCCATGAGTGAGACTGAGATGTGACAGTTGACTTCTGTAAAGAATATGATTTTGGAACCTCTATGGGGGAAGTTCTACTCTTCCTGTAGGCTCCACATGAGTTGGAAGCAACTCAAAAGCTACAGACTAAAGTAGAAAGGTGTGTAAGAGAGATGCAGCACATCAGAAGGTCAGAATATGGAGGGCCCAGAATGCCTGGGCCATAACAACCACCGAACAAATATTACTGAATGAATGAATAAAAGAACTAACAGATGTGGAGTCTGATTCTGTTCTGGACCTAAACTTGGAATCCAGTGAAAAAGAGTCTGATAATCCCTTGTGAAGAACTACCTTTGGGTAATTACATCAACACTGTTCTCATTTTCTACCTCCAAATTACAATATATTGAATTTCCATGAGGAGAGGGAAAAAACCTTCCACTGACAAGCAAAATATTGACTTAGAAAAGCTGAAGCATTGAGAGTCATACTTCCAATAGCCGCTAAAGGATACCCAAATCCGTGATGCTGAACAGGGGATCCAGCTTCTCCCTCTAAGGCTGCCCTGGGAATCCAGTCTCCTGTCTACTTGAACAGGATATTAGCAGCTCATGGGGAGGGTTCATTCTCTTGCCTCTCGCTCCCTCCCTCCAGGGTCAAGCACAATATCTGACATAAATAGTGTCTCTGGTATTCAAGGTTGTTCAAAATTACGCTTTCTGTTCCTACATATGCCCTATCATTGAGCGTCACGGGGTCACTTAGGCCTTCTTATTTTCTTGTCTTACCATCATTGCCTTTATGTTGCTCCTTTCGATTTTCACTAAGTCTCCAAGGCGTGCCTTCAAGGCTCAGCACAAAATCCACCCCTTCTGTAAGCCTTCTCCGGTTATTACTGTTCTCACCCCCCACTACCTTCCTGAGATCATGGTGTTCGCTTTACCTCCCAGTCAGGAGACTCTCAACACCCAAAGATTTCAACACAGTCCCTACTTAAGCACTTTGTTCTGCGTGTTCCCAGTGAAATCAGTTCCTCTATCGTTTCTGAACTGTCAGAAAGTTACAGGGGCAGAGGTCAGGATGATGTTATGGCTTTGTAAGAACAGCCTATGCTTGGGAGGTCTGCCTGGGAGGGAATGTCCAGCTGCCTTGAGAAGGAGGAGAGACAGTATCTCCAGCTTTCCTCACTCTGTCCTAGTAGCAGTAAGAACAGTCAGTCTGCTGTTTGGCCTGTCCACAGTCACCCTTTGCCTAGCAGACCCCCACTGTTTTCCAGGCTTCCTTCTCCCTGCCTGCCCTGTTATTCAGTCTGGTACAATCTACTTGGCTGTTAGGGCATGAAGAACCTTAATAGATGCCTGGGGCCTTTTTCCGTTTTAACCTCACCCCACCTGCTGTACTCTGTGCTTTGTTCTCTGGCAACGTGATAAAGAGCAACAGGGAAATCACATCCAGCAGGACAGTGTGCTGCAGAAGGCACGTATCAGAGATGTATCCTAGAGGGCATGGAGGCTTGCCTGACAAAGTCCTGGCCTGGATTAGTCCCAGTCAACCCTGGACAGCAAGCCCAGAGCAGTGGGAGGGGAAGGTTGGGCCGAGGTGCGAGAAAAACCCAACATTTCCTTTTAATCTGCACGACCACTCTGTAAGAAGGTATTCGGGTCACTGTTTTAAAGGTCAAGACAACTCAGGCTCAGAGAAGGAAGAAAAGTTAACCCAGGCTACAGCAGCTAGAAGGTGGTAAAGACGGGATTCCAAGCCGTACCTCAGTGGCCACAGTGGCCGGTTTCTTTCTGCTGCACCATTCTACCCCTCGTCTTTCCCAGGCTTGCTTTCCCGGCTAAGCCCTAACACAGGGAAGGGCATGCAGGCAGTGCTCAGCCCCGTTCTCTGTCTGGCTGACAGCCGCAAAGCAGATATTTGCTACTTACATTGTAAGATGTGAGACACCATCAACGCTGTACAGTTGTCACTACATGGAAGTCGTCCTAGAGCCAAGTCCTTCTTTATCTGAAGAGTGAAAAGATACCTGCAAAGCAGTTAGGGGGAAAAACATCTTGAGAAAGAAAACAGGAGCAAGAAAGAAGTCTTTCCCTTCTCTCAGATGCAAGTTGATTAAAGAAAGAAAGGGCGGCCTCCCGGTGCCTTTGGGGGGGGGGCAGTGAGTAATACATAGTCTTTGCTTAAGCCCCAGCCCGGTACCAGACCACAAGGCTACTGATGCAGCACTTTGGCAGGCCTGACAGCCATTAGGAATCACCCTGACCAAATCCACCCACCAATTTGAGGGAGTTGGCAATGTAGCAAAGCCACAGGAACAGCTAGAAAAAGCAGAGGAGACTCAACAAGAATGAATCAGCCCTAGGAGGCCAGTGCTGCTGTGTTTATGAAAAGCTGCCAAAGAAACTACTCATTGATATAACAACTTACAAGATTGGCAGGGCAGGAATGAGGCCTTCATTTGACAGCTATGAAGAGAGTGAGGCCAGCTGACTGTGACTACCCCGACCATATCACCCCAAAGGTAGTGAAACTGTGGCTGGCATACACGTCTCTCTCTGAATCCGGACTATCCCTCTCCCAGACTGTATTTCCGGAATCAAGAGTTTGAGGCGATATTTATGCCTAGGTTTTGGCTTTTGCCTGGACCACCCTCTCTCTGTCACCAGAGCCCACGGCATAGTGCTTTGCACAGAGTGGAAATGTAGAAGTAGAAACTAAAGATGTTCCTTGTAGCAGGGTGGATAAGCTCTTAACCAAAAGGTCAGTGGTTCCAATGCGCCCACCAGTCACTCTGAAGGAGAAAGGTGTGGCGTTTGGCTTCCATAAAGTCTCACAGTGTTGGAAATCCTGTGGCCAGTTCTACTCTATCCTTCAGAGTCACTAAGAATCAGAGTAAACTTGATAGCAGTGGGTGAGGGTTTTGAGGGTTAGATCCAAGACATTCGGCACCCAACTCATGAAGTGCAAAAATCATTGCCACCCATTCTGTTGTGATTCGTAGAAACCCTCACTGCATAGGATCTCAAAGGCTGTAAGATGGATGGAAGGAGACTGCCTATCTTTCTTTGTCCCACAAAGACACTGGTGGATTTGAACTGCTAGGGATGGGCAGACTTTCAGTTAGTAGTGTAACTCATTATGCCGCCAGAGCTCCCTAAAAAATCAGTGTTGTTGCGTACCATTGAGTTGGAACCAACTCATGGTTCAAACTCATAGCTGATCCTCTAGTGACTTTTCAGTGGCAGTTTAAACCCACACAAGGAGGTTGCACATCTTTCTCCTACAGAACAGCTGGTAGATTCGAACCACGTGTTTTTTGGAATGGCAGCACATTAGGGACTGACAGAATGGAGGTTTATATCCAAAGAAGGGAGTCTTAGTAGTTCACTAGTTGAAATGCTCAAAGCACAACTGCTGTTAGAACCTACCAGGGAACTCTGGTGGCTTAGTAGTAGGGAGTTGTGTTGCCGACTGGTTCGAATACCAGCTGTTCCGTGAGAGGAAGATGAACAATCTCTTCCTGTATGATTCACTATCTCTGAAAACTCGCTGAAAGGTCAGCTATGAGTTGGCTCAGACTTGACAGCACATAACAATAAAACAAACAACTCTGGGGAAAAGATAAAGCAGTTGGCTTCTGTAAAGATTATAGCCTTGACAAGGCTATAGGGGCAATTCTACTCTGTCCAATAGAGTTGCCACAAGTCAGAACTGACTAGACCGCAGCAAGTTTGGTTTGGGGCCCAGGGCTTTGCCAGATAGCATTTCACCTACATTTTGAAATCTCTTTTGAAGGAGAGTCAACTTCTCAAGACTCCCACTGACTGCTTTCTTCCATAGTAAAATATTGGTTCTGAACTTTTCCACATTAAAACATATATTAAGTATCTACGCTGTGCATCCACAGTGTTTTTGAAGGCCTGTTATTTCAGAAGTGGATGTCCAGTCCTGTCTCTTAGTTTTGTCTTATTCTGGAAGATCCACTGAAACTTGCCTGCCATGAATGAACCTGCTGGGATTAGAAATACTGGTAGCATAGTTTCCAGCATCACAGCAACACACAAACCACTGCAGGATGGCTAACAGACAAGTGGTTGTCTCTACAAAGATCAAGACTCAATTGTCCCGACAGAACAAGCGAACATGATGTGGCTTAAAAATCAGGAAAGGTGTGCACCAGGGTTATATCCTTTCTCCAGAACTATCCTATCTGTCTGCTGAGCAAATGATTCAAGAAGTTTGGACTCTATGATGAAGAATAGTGGCATCAGGATTGGAGAAAGACTCATAAACAACCTGCTTTATGCAGATGACATAACCCTCGCTTGCAGAAAGTGAAGGCTTGAAGCGCTTATTGCAGAAGAGCAAAGACTACAAATTTTAAGATGGGTAACATCTCAATATCAAGAAGATGAAAACATCTTTCCCACTGGACCAAATAGGCAACATCACAATGGATGGAGAAAAGACTGAAGTTGTCTAGGATTTCATTTTACTTGGATTCACAATCAATACCTATGGTAACAGCAGTCAAGAAATCAAAAGACAAGTTGCATTGGGAAAATCTGCTGTTGAGGGCCTCTCTCCATAGTATTAAAGAGCAACGACGTCAGTTTAAAGACTAAGCTTGGATCATAGCTGACCCAAGCCATGGCCTTTAATTGCATTATGTGCATATGAAAGTGGATAATGAATAAGGATAACAGAAGAAATGATGCCGTTGAAGTGTGGTGTTGGAGAAGAGGAATGAATATTCCATGAACTACCAAAATAATAAATAAATTTATCTTGGAAGAAGCGCTCCTTAAGAGGCACGGATGCTGATACTTAGGATATATTGTCAAGGAGGGGTTAGTTCTTGGGAAAAGGTATCGCGCTGGGAAAGGGTGAGGGTCAGAGAATGGGAGGAAGAGTCTCAATGAGATGGACTTGATCGAGACCAGGAAGAAGGTGCAGCATTGGGAAAGGTTCTGATCTGTGGTTCCTAGGGTCACTCTGAGTTGTAGTTGACTCGAGAGCACCTAACCACATAATATTGTCCAATATAAAGCATGGATTTTCTAAACAAAGTCCTATCTGGATGGATTTTTAAGTGTTTTTACTAGTTAAGCCTTCAAGGCAATGTGGTGAATCAAAATTAATTGCAGGTGATAGATGAAAATCCAGATTAGAAAAAACAGGTAAATTAGTAGGCGATTATTCAATTTCCAAAAGCATCCATCATTATAACCCTTTCAAATTGTGAGCTCTTCCAATGCATTAGGAGTGATTCAATTAGGAGAATTATGTTCGCACACAACTCTCAGAAACCTGCGTTTTAACCCCAAACAGAGTATCTTGTAAAGTCAACTATATTAAATATTCTTAAATGGACCACATGGGGCGGGGGGACAAAGGAAGCCTAATCTCTGCTCATTTGTCAAATATGGATGTATATGAGAATGATCAGCCTCAATTGCAAAAAGGCAAGTGATTTTTTTTTCTCCTAGCAACATAGAAGGGAAACTTCTTGTCATTTGACACGTCCCTTGCTGTTAAGGAGGCAGCTGCCTGCTAGAAATACCAAATCCTTGCTCTGAACAGCTGATGAATCATTTATCATCACATTGATTTTCTCATATTCCCCCCCTCCCATTCTTTCTCCTGTTCGTTCCTCTCTTTTAAGACCATTTACCTCCACCAAAAATGGTTCCAATTTGAAAAATCAACTGAAATAAGTTGGCAAATGCAAACTGAAGCTAACACTGAGATGGCAGTTGATCGGCAAAGTGGCCTACAACTCACAGATGAAAGAGAAAAGGAAACGTTTGTGAAAAATGGCTTCCACGAAGGCCCCTCGGAGAAGTCCCCTTGGACAAAAAGAGGGAAGAGGAAGTGTTGGGAAGAGGACTTCAGGGAACATGAGTGCCAACGTCCTGTGATCCTAACCAAGTCACTTTAGCTCCCAGGGCCTGTTTCTTCACCTGTAAATGAAGAAAGGTGAACTGGATTATCTCTTAGATCCCTTCTAGGTGTGAGAGTCTAAGTCTACAGTTTGGAGAGGTGTTAGACTTACAGCCTATATTTTTTTTGCAGAAGTAGAATTATATTGTAATTTTGAATGGTCTTGTTCATAACTGTTTGTCATCATATGCAATGTGCTTCGTCCTCTCTCTAAGGCTTTTTCTAAGCTACCTACACCTACTGTTGTTTTCTGTATCTGTGGATACTAACAGACAGCTGCTTGTCAAGCTGCCCTCCGATTGACACACAAATGCAGTGAAGGCAAGCATGATGATTTTTGCAGCAGTCAACGACATGTACCACCCAAGCAGGCACGCAGGCTCTCTACCTCCTCCAAGTACCACCATGCTTTCTCCCTGCCATACTCCGCCCTGTGAAAGATTAACACCTGGGAGACCAGCCAGGCCCTCCCTCTCTCCAAATCCGCACCATCTCCCAGAGAGTGACTTAAAGCCAAGACTTGCAAAGAGACTTCTACGCCCCTCCCTGCTGAACAGAAGACCGCAACAACATCATGCAGCGGACACACAGGTAAGCTCCCTACCTTGTTAGCTCTTCCCGAAGATGTCCAGGATCCACTGGGAAAAATTTCACCATAAATTTGAAAACAACCTCCTTAGGATCTTAAAACACAATTATCTCCATAAGTTTTATTTCAATGTCCATCACAACAGTTACAGATATACACAGACACTCTCTCTCTCTCAATCTCTCTCTCCCCCCCCACCCAAAACTCCCTACCACAGACTTTTAAATTTCAAATTTTTACATGTTAAAGGTGTTTCTATTTCTGGGTTGTGCCTCTAGGTAGGTAACAATTGGCAAAGTTCTCTCTCTCCTCCTGCCTCCCCCTCTCCCTTTGAGTTTATTTTTATAAAGCTGTGCCTCTTTGAGTGCCTAGGATGTCCTCTTTAAGAAGTTGTTCCACTAGGGCGGGGGGCGGGGGAATGCACCATTTGCTGCATGAGGTTTGCCCCCCTGGTTGAAAGAAGGGCTCAGCTCCAGGTGGTACAGGTGCATCTCATAAAGGGAATTGGAAAAAAAAAACTAAAGGGAATTGGAAGCCAGGTGGCTGGATGCCCCTACATCCCATAAACCTGTGTGAAATAATGTAGCTGCTTATTTGAATCAAAAGGAAACCATGTGTATGCATAATTAGCATCATTTGTTCAACAAATATTTGTTAAATGCCTTTGATGTGCATTTTGCTATGCAGATACTGGGAGAGGGGGGAAAAACACCACAAACAAACAAAAACCCCCACCAAAAACCAACTAAAATATCATAGTCAGGTGGAAGAGACAAACAGCTACACAGACAATAACACAACCACAAGGCAAACACAGAAGAGAGTTGTCAGTTAGCCTTGAGTGCTGGGGGGGAAGTTTGAAGGAACAAAAGGAAGGCTTCTTAGAGGAGGATGCTTAGAAGATTTAGCATATAAAACACAGCTCTCAAAACGGGAGCACCCTGGTGGCACAAAGTTTAATTGCTCAGCTGCTAAAGGTCAGTGGTTCAAACCTACCAGAAGCTTCTGCAGGGGAAGAGACTTGGCAATCTGCTCCCTAAAGATTTCATGCAAAGAAACCTATGGGGCAATTCTACTCTGCCCTGTAGGGTCACTGGGAGTCAGAACTGCGTCAATGGCACTCAACAGTATTATTGCATTAGAATTTCAGATAAACCGTAATTACCTGAGGTGTACTTAAAATCTTTAAAAAGTACACTTTCTTTATTTGAAACTGAGCATCCCATATTTTGTCTTACACCCTAAAAGCTGAAATTAGTCAAAGTCAGAAGAAGGAGGGAGGCAACGTGTTGAGTGGCATAAAAATGGCTAGAAAAGCCAAGGAGAGTCCAGAGGTTTGAATGTCATGCTAATATATGTGGGTTTCGTTCTAAAGGCAGTTGGGAGCCATGGGAGAGTTTTAAGCAGGAGCATGATGTGGTCAGGTTTGTGTAGTCAAGAAAGGTATCTGAGAGTAGTAAAAGGATTGGTGGAAGAAGACTATGACAGATGATGGGCGTGTAGTGGGAACAAACAACTCCGAGAAGCACCGATTTGTAAAGAACGGGTGTTGTTCTTAGGTGCTGTCAAGCTCACTGCCCCTCATAACGACCCTACTTTGCCCTGTCCTGCAGGATCCTCACAATCTCTGTTACGCTCAAGCCCAGTTCTGTAATCACTGTGTCAATCTATCTTGGTGAAGATCTTCTTCTCCTTTGCTGACCCTCCACCTTTCAAAGCATGATGTCTTCGTCCTAGGACCGGTCCGTCCTGACAAAATGCTCAAAGTGTGTGAGACAAAGTTTCTCCATCCTCGTCTCTAAGGAGTGCACTGGTTGCACTTCCTCCAAGAAAATCTGCCAAAGAAACTCTAAAACAGTGCTGCTCAGAGTGTGGATTGCAATCCACCTGCAACCAAAACACTTGTTTCAAATTCACGTTGCTAATTCCTCACTTAGAGTCCTCCGGTTGTGAAAATGTCCAACTGACAAATCAAAAAGCTAGAGGTTGGGGTCGACCAAGAGGTACCTCAGGAAAAAAAAAATCCCTGGTAATTTACTTCCAAAAGGTTACAGCCTAAAAATCCTATGGAGTACAGCTCTGCCCAGTACCAGAATCAGAACTTGATAACTGATTTGGTTTGGAGGCACAAGCATTTGCATTTTAGCAATAAACCCAGGCGATTCTAAAACAGTGAGATTTGAGAACTAGGTTGCCACCTGCTGGGAGGAAGTAATTCATGCACACCAAACCCAACCTACTGCTGTGGAATCATTTCTGACTCCCTAACACCCGGGATGAGATTTCCGAGACTCTAAATCTTCACAGGAGGAGACTGCCTATCTTCCACTCTTTGAGCACTGTCAGTGAGCAGCCCAGCCTTAACTTACAACTTCCGCAAGGGCTCCTTATTTTGTACATAGAAGGAGATCCAATATGAACAGAAATAAGAGGACAATGCCCAAGACATGGCAAAACAAAACATCCTCAGACAGAAGGTAAGCAACATGGCGGCTTGACACCACAGACGCATGAAGATTCACAGTGCGGAACTTGAGCCACATTCCTAGAACCAATCCACGGAGTGGTAGAACTACCAGGGTCCTTCCGATTGACTCAAAGACCCAGCAGCACGATTTCCTTTGCCTCCGGCAAAAACGAAAATGATTTTTAAATGACTCAATTTCCTGGATTTATGAAGGCTTGAAAGAATACATCAAAGTTCTGTTTTCTGGTTATATTAAGGTGAAAAATCATGTGGCACTGTTGAAATGTTTTCAAGCTGGGACTGGCAACTCCATCTCTTAAATGATTTTTCCATACTTACTTTTTACTTGCTTGGTTATGGACTTGAGAAGTTCCAACCAAACCTGTAATAACAATAATGGGAAACAAACAAACAAAAAGACAAAAAAAAATGGTTGAACATGGTACTGAGTAAGACATTTGGGTTTTGGTTTTTCTTGGATTTCTTTTTTTAGAAGAAAAAAGTCAGCATGAAATGTAAAAAAAAGGAAATACCAGACAGAGCCTTTTAGACTTCTAAAGCTAGTTAGAAAGTCAAGTCAGAGAGAGGACCAAACATCACCACACTCAGTCTGCCCCCTAGTGTATTTCTCTGATAATGAACACTGTCGATCTAGAAACACTTGGTTGTTGGCATTTTAGCATCTCTGCACCTCTGCCTCAGTAAGATGGCAAAGGTGTCACATACAAAGTTCATTAGTTGCCATAAAGACTAAGGGAGCACTGGTGGCTTAGTGGCAAGAAGCCGTGCTGCTATCCGGAAAGCATGTGGTTAGAATCCACCAACTGCTTCACAGGAGAAGGATGGGTAATGTCCTTTCATATCATTTATTGCTTCTGAAAACCCTGGGACTCAACAACAATGATGGGTGCACTTGGCTCCACCTTTGAATGCCACAGGCCCTATGTGCCATGTTAAAAGGCTTTGCAGAAAGATGACCAGATTACAGAGATGTCAAGGAAAGGACCATGGGGAAGGGTTTGGAGCTGAGGGAGGGAAGACAACATTCCCTCAAATATCCTGTGGTGAATTTAATACTTTTAATCCTAGGGGTTGCGGTTTAGCCTCTGGAAAGTCAAACTAGATAGAACACAAACAATAGGAGAATGGGACAGAGGCTTTTGTTTGACATTCTCCTGGGATTTTTAACAAATTGTTGTTGGGGAGGATGTCCATGTGAATCCACGTTTAAACTGATCAATTGCAAGGGTATAAGTGATTTGTTTTTCCTTTTTAATTTTTCAATCTGATATTTGAGCCCCACACTGCTGGCCTCAGTTCCTGTTTACAAGGAATTCGAGAGACAAACCCAACTTACATTATTTCCAGAATGGCTGCAGAATTCTAATCCAAAGTATTCCTTTTCCGCAAGATTTAAATGGCTGCAACTCAGGTTAAAGAGCGCCTTTCCAGGTGACTTTTGCTAAATAAAATGAAGAGCACAGTTTAGGTCCCTGAGTTGCTATTGTTAGGACAGCATAGGGTAGGTGGTGGAGTCAAACAAGATTCTTGGTCAGTACCAGCTTCTGGAAGCACTTGCTAAATGTCCCTGACATCTTCACATAGATTCTTCAAGCTATAGTTTTAGGGACCTCCCTAAAAGAGTCTCATGAATGATAAATCTGCTGGGGGGGGGGGGAAGACAGCCTTTGCCTTAACTTTGGCTGTTGTTATGTGCTGCTTGTGACTCATAGTGACCCTATGTACAAGAGCCCTAAGCCCTGCTCCATCCTGTGCCACATCTACTCCCATTACCCCAGTCACTGAATCAATCCACCTCATAGAGGGTTTTCCTCTCCTGCACTGTCCCTCCATCCTCCCAAGCATGATCTCTAAGGTCCATCCTTGTAACATGTCCAAAGTATGTCAGATGAAGCTTCAGAACCCTTGCCTCCAAGGAGGTGCAAATCAACTTTTTAAAAAAATTGTGATTTTAATGAAAGTTTATAGAAAAATTTGCATTTTCATTCATCCCTAACCCCCAAGTTCACTTAAAAAAAATTCATTCCTTGCACCATTTCCTCCCTTCCTCCCACCCCTCCCCCAATCCGCTTTGCTGTGCACCTCTTATTCTGGACTGTTGTCATACAGGCAATACTTAATCATATATTCCTTTGAATCGGTTCTTGTTAAATGAACTCTCTAAACACTTCATCCCACAGACAATTTGAATGATATTCCCAAAACTGGCAGCTTGTAGAATCAAGATGCAAATCTGACCCTAAAACTCTCTTCTGTGGCTCCCCTAGAGACAAGTGAATAGTCCTCAGCGCTGGGGATAAGCCCTCCCTCTGGGCCTCACCCTGTCTACCTCTCCAGCCTCCTTTCTTGCTCCCTGCCTGACATGTTCCTCAAGAATAATCGCAGCCTGCTCAGAGTTCCCCACACACACGTCACCTTGTTTAATGCCTCCATGCAATTGCTCATGTGGTTTCTTCTCCACAGACCGCCCTGCCCATCTTTCTTTGGTTTGGCTTCCTCCCACACAGCTCAGACGCCAACTCCCCAGGAGAACTTTCTCTGATCCCTATCAGAAGCAGGTTGGGCCAAGGGCAGGCCCTCTGTGTTCCCACAACACCCCTGCTTGCCTCAAACCAGGTGCTGCTTACACCAAATAATCTTCTCTCCCTTGCTAGTCTGGATTCCTTCAGAACAGGGGCCTTTCTTTGTCTTGTTTCTCTCTGGGCCTCACAAAAGGCCTGGCACGCAGAAGGGGCTCTTGAATGTGTCTTGCTCCAATGTGACTCTACCTATAGGAAAGCCTTGAATGAATTTCGTGCACCTTCACCAAAAAAATCTGTGAAGGGCAAACTCCATCTGGCATGGAAGGGCTAGCCCGGCAGATGCTCTTCCAGAAGCCAACACACGCTGCTAACTGTTAGCACCGAACAGGCCTTTCTTAAGCTTCTCTGAGATTGTTAGTAATGCTTTGATGAACTCTTTGGAAGTCTCTGCCCTGAATGCGATGGCAGCCGCTGATCCTCAGCAGCCACCGTCGTGGAGTCTGAGGATCACTGTTTGCAGGGAGGCCTACGGTGAGAAAATTGGCCCTTGGCATCGAAGCCCAAAGACAGGCTACTGAAAGCCCCTCTAGTTAAAGCAGAGCGATGCAGGGCCTATGGTGCTGCAGCTGTTCAATCAGGGGACTGTAGATGGAAATCACCGACCTTTACAAATTACCAGTAACCTTGAGAGGTCAGAGAGTCCATAAAAACCCCCACCCTAAGCTCACCTTCTTCCTCAAGGCAGCACCACGCCCCTTAGAGCCCACATCTGGGATTTAATAGCTTCCAGGAAGGAGGCCCACCGCACTTCCTTTCTTTACTGGCCAAAAATACTGCTCTCTGTTTGGACTTCCCTGTACTGGGTCATGGTGCCATAAAACCCGTCTACCTCCCCCCCCCACCTCCCATGCCTCCTATTTTGAAATGAAAATAGGCTGCAAAGGGTACAACCTCTCCTATCCCCAAAGCACCTGGAGGCAATGGGGAGGAGAGAGGAGAAGCTGCCTTTCTGAGGGAAGGGGATTTTGATTTTATGTGAGAAGTCACATTGGAGCTGGGGCCCCAGGAAAATGAGGTCAGTGGGGGAGGGTGGCCAAGGGACAATAGGGGAGGGGTACCCAGTAAGGAGGAGGGTTTTTTTGCCTACGTGGCAAACTTGCCTTGGGCAAGTACTGCCACAGACCATTCCAGACGGATGAAATCGCTCCTATTTTTAAAGTCCTCCAGAGAAGGAGCTGCCATGGAATTTTTATTAAAAAAAAATTTTCTAAAGAGATAGATATGACAGCAGTACTTTTCCCAACACACACACACACACACACACACACACACACACACACACAATTCCTGAAGACCAAATTCCCTCACAGACTCCAGTTTCTTTGCAAACAATTTAGGAAACTGAAGATTTTTCCTTTTTTTTTTTTTTCTCCCCCTCATTTTTTATTCTTATTTTCCGTCAAGGCACTTAATCCTTTCCATCAGCGCTGCCACATTCCATGTGTCTGTCTGTCTGTTTCTACAGTCACAAAGGATAGATGGCCGTTCTTGTAAGGCTTCCAAGTAAGGCTTCCTTTTGTAAGATCTCATCCCATGTTTAGAAGACTAATCCCTGATTCTTCCATCGCTGTACTGGTTGCCAACTGGCTCGAAAAGCCGTTGGCATTTTTGCATCTGGAGGTCAGGCACGCTTATTTGCTCAACTCTCCACCCCTGTCTCTTGGAGAGGCATTTCCCTTCAGTCCTCCACAGTACACCTTGAACTTGGCCAACTAGTCATGTGGAAGGTATTGCATAATGGGGAAAATCTTGATTCTGTCTCAACGGGCAGCCTCTCATTTTATTCTACCATTACGATCCAGTTCCTGAATTGTCATCCTCTGATCGGCTTTCTCATAATATCTCTCTGTATATACAACCAACTCCTATTCCCCCCTTTTCTGGGCTTTTGATACTCTTTACAATTGTTTGCTATTTGTTTAAATTGACTCTTTCATAGTTCTAATCAAGCTCCTCGATGTGGTTATTAATTACTGTCTAGTTAGTCCTAAGCCTAAATCCAGCTTTAACCCTTACTCTAACCCTAACCCTGCTGATGAAGCACAACTCCAATCTCTCTCTCTCTCTCTCTCTCTCTCTCTCTCTCTCTCACACACACACACACACTCACTCTCACTCTGCAAAGGTGAACCACTGCCCAGCCTAATGCTGTCCTCATGATCAGACATTGTGATCAATGAGTTTTTCTGAAGTAGATCAACAGGTCTTCCCCCACCCTTACCTCCTCTGTTTCAAACCAAAAACTCTTCTGAAAACTTGCGCAGCATCATAGCAACACACAAACCTCCAAATGACAGACGGGTGGTAGCTTTGCTGGAGGTATGTTGGCTGGAAACAACCCAGTCTCTCACATGACAGTTGAGAATTTTACCATCAAAACACCATCATCCCCCTCCCTAGTCAGACTCTGTAGTGGATCTAAATTTTTTATCACTAGTCCTCCCACTATAGGGAGCTCTGGTGGCTTAGTGATAAGGAGATGTGCTGCCAACCCAAAGGCTCAGGGTTCAAATTCACCAGCTGCTCCACAGGAGAAAGAGGGACAATCTCCTCCTGTGAAGTTTACTGCCTCTGAAAACCCACTGGAGGGTCTGCTATTGGTTGGTTCCCACTTGATGGTACACAACAGCAATCTTGAACTCCGTCCTGCTCTTGACTTCCCTGCAGTCCACTCCAGTCCAGTCTTTTTATTATTAATAATAATATAATATGGCTGTTATTATTAGGCTAAACAAGCTGAGCAGTATTTACTAGTATTTATAACTTCAAATTTACAAAGTGGAACATAACCAGTTGAGACAAATTTGTGTGAGCTTCCATTTCATCTACTCATACAATTATTACCTAAAGTGATTAGTTCTACAAACCAGTCTACCAAGTCATCTATATTATATACCTTCTATGTGACCTAAAGCTGTCACATATCAATTTGTGCATATGAGCCTGGATTTTAATCCTGCTTTACTTATTACTCGCTATGCAATCAACAATCATGGCATCAGCAGTCAGGAAATCAAAAGACAAGTTGCATTGAGAAAATCTGCTATCAGGGACCTCTTCAGAGTACTGAAAAGTGATGATATCAGTCTAGAGACTTGTTATTGTTGTTAAGTGCCATCGAGTCATAGATGACTCATAGCGACCCTATGGATGGAAGACCTGAACACTTGTGTAACTTTCATCATTTCTCCAAGTTCATAGTCTCTGGAAGCAGGCTATTTCAGAAGTGGGTGCCACTCCTGCTTCCAAGCTTGTTTCAATCGTGGAGCTCCACCAAACACTGTCCACCATGGGTAACCATTATCACGTTTGACACATCAATGTCACAGTGTTTGGTATCACAGCAACCATGAGTTGTACAGCAAATGGACAGACCAGTGCTATACCGCTTAGAAGAATGTTTGACTAAGGTGTGCCTAATCCAGGCCATGGTCTTCTCAATTACTTGCTATGCATCTAAGAGCTGGGCAATGACTAAGGATGATAGATGAATAATTGATGTCTTTGAGTTGTGCTGTTAGAGAAGAGTAGTGAACATACTATGGACTGCTGAGAGCCTGTCCTATCCTGGAGAGGGTGAAAACAAGTTGCTCCTTGGAGGCAAAGATTTTAAAGCTCTGTCTCACATATTTCGGGCATGTTGCCAGGAGGGACCAGACCTTGAAGAAGGACATCATACTTGGAAGGGTGGAGGAACAAAGCAAGAGAGAAAGGTTCTAGATGAGATGGAATGACACAGCCACTGGGGTAATGGAGGTAGGTGTGTTTGAAACAGTGAGATTGGCTCAGGATAGGGCAGGGCTCAGAGTTGTTGCGCATAGAATTGCTCTGAGTCGTAATAGACTGGATGGCACATAGC